TTTCAAATTTGTTGGAGTACAATTCTTCAAGTAGTCTGTTATTATCCTTTTTATTTCCATTGGTTCTGTCGTGACATCACCCATATAGTTTCTAATTCATGTTATTTGTACCTTATTCTTATGTTAGGTTTGTCAGTAGCTTGTAAATTTTATTAATCCTTTCAAAAAACTAACTTGTTTGGTTTATTCTTTCTTGCTTTTCTCTTTCATTGAGTTTCTTTTTTTTTTTCTTTCTTTCATTGAGTTTTGTTCTAACCTTTTAAAATTTCTTTTCTTGTGGCAGTAGGCTTCTTTGCTGTGTTTTTCTTAACTGTTGGAGATATTTGGTTAAGGTGTTTACTTTGGTTCTTCTTTTTTGGTTGTGTATGTTTATTGCTATAACTTGGCCTCTGAGCACTGCTTTTGCTGTGCTCCAAAGGTTTTGGTATGCTGTGTTTTCGTCTCTTCTGACTAAAGGAATTTTTTCATTTCATTTTTTATTTAACTTCGCAAAGAATTTTGACTGTGTGGATCATTAGAAGCCATAGACAACATTGAGGAGAATGAGTATTCTGGCACACTTAATTGTGCTCATGAAGAACCTGTACATAGACTAAGACATAGTCGTTTGAACACAACAGGGGAAGACTGAATAATCTAAAATCAGGAAAGGTGTGTGTCAGTGTTATGTATTCTTTCATTTACTTATTCAATCTGTATGCTGAGCAAATACAAGAAACTGTATTATATGAAGAAGAAGGTGGCATCAGAATTTGAGGAAGACTCATTAACAACCTGCATATGCAGGTGACACAGCCTTATTTGCTGGAAGCGATGAGAACTTCAATAACTTACTGATGAAGATCAAAGACTTCAGTATGTATTAGACCTCAATGTAAAGAAAGCAAAAATCCTCACTACCAGACCAATAAATAACATCATGATAAATGGAGAAAAGATTGAAGTTGTCAAAGACTTCATTTTGTTTGGATCCACCATCAACATTCATGGAACCAGCAGTCAAGAAATCAAACGATGTATTGCTTTAGGCAAATATGCTACACAAGATCTCTCTAAAGTGTTGAAGAGCGAAGATGTTTGAGGACTAAGGTGTACCTGACCGAAGTCATGGTATTTTCAATAGCCTCATGTGTATATGAAAGTAGCAGTGAGTAAGGAAGACCATGGAAGAATTGATGCACTTGAGTTATAGTATTGGGAAAAAATATTAAAGTACCATGGGCTTCTAGAAGAACAAACAAATCTGTGTAGGTAGAAGTACAGCCAGAATATTCCTTAGAAGTCAGTATGGTGAGACTTCGTCTTTTATACTTCAGACATATTATCAGGAGAGACCAGTCCCTAGAGAAGGATGTCATGCTTGGTCAAGTAGAGGTTCAGTGACAAAGAAAGATCCTCAACAAGATGGATTGGCACAGCAGCAGCAGTAATGTGGTCAAATGTAACAGCAATTGTGAGGATGGCCCAGCACCAGGCATTGTTTCATTCTGTTGTGTACAAGGTAGTTCTGAATCAGAACTGACTCAGTAGCACCTAACAACAATGACATAAAGGCTCTTTATGACAGTCTTCTTCCTACCAGTAGGGGGGTATGTGCTGCTTCATCTCCTTGGTTTCTCACTAGAATTTTGTTTCCTTCTTATCACAGAGTATATGTTCTTGAAATATAGCATCTTATTTTCCTTCTCCACAACTTAGCATAGTTAATTTCTCTGTCCAGACGGGTAAAATAATTTTTATTCTTCTGGAACCCAGGTTTCTGGGATCATGAGACGACAGTTGTCTGTCTGCCCCTAGTTGCCCTTTTGAACCTTGAAGGAGTCAACTTTAGGTGAAAAATAGCTTAGTTTTGGTGTGGCACTGTGGGTTACTGCATTGGACTGCAAGGTTGGTTGTTTAAATTCACCAGCTGCTCCTCAGAAACTCTATACAGGGGTGTTATGAATTGTAACCGACTTAACAGTAACAACATTTAGTTTAGTGGACACTATTTGACCTTAGGCATTGGGATCTTTTGGAAAACTACTTAGGTATGTTGTTGTTAAGTGCTGTTGAGTCAGTTCCCACCCATAGTGACCCTATATAGTGTTTGCAAGGAGCAACTGCTGAGCTTGAACTGCCAACTTTGCAGTTCAGCTCATTAACTCACAGCGCCACACCGGGACTCCTATACTTAGGCATAGAAACAGGAATTCCAGGATTTGATTGGTTGGTTGGTTATGTGCCGTGGAGTCGGTTCTGACTCATAGCGACCCTGTACAGGGTTTCTAAGGCTTTAAATCTTTACGAGAGCAGAAAGCCTCATCTTTCTCCCACGGAACAGCTGGTAGTTTTGAACTGCTGACCTTGCAAGTTCACAGCCTGATTCGTAACCACTATGCTACCAGAGCTCCTTGAGGATTTATTTGATTAGAGGCAGTGTTTTAGGATGTATCATGTGTCCTACTTGTATTTTGATTTTAATCACCCTGATAAATTAACATAACAATGACCTGCATAAGCTACTTTCACTATCCCCTTTTCAGAGTGCTTCCCAAAATGGGTTGGCACTGCCTGATTTGAATAATACCTAATTACTATAAATATATGCTATCCCATTAATTTTTGCTGTTTCTTTTAAGGATCTGGGTGTTTTACAAGACTACCTACCCTTCCCCAGATCCATTTAGCTCCTTGGATTTTCCTTCCAGACAGCACTGGCAAATGGCAGCTATCATTAAATGTCTGCCAAGTGTATGAATTAAATCAGTCACTTCTATCCACTTTGAGCATGGAGTATGGGTGAAGTGTGCAGTGGAAACAAACAACAAAAAACCCTGTTAATGAAAGAAGCAATCTATGATGGTTATGGGAGTGAGAAAAAAAAAGAAAAAGATATATATATAAAAGTACCATGGACTGCAGAAGAACAAACAGACCTGTATTGGAAGAAGTACAGTCAAAATGCTCCTTAGAAGCCAGGATGGGGAGAATTTGTCTCTCATACTTCAAGCGTATTATCATTAGGGACCAGCCCCTGTAGAAGAACATTATGCTTGGTAAAGTGAAGGGTCAGTGAAAAAGAGGAAAACCCCCAATAAGATGAATTGACAAATGGCAACAACATTCGGCTCAAACATAACAACTGTGAGGATGGTTCAGAACTGGGCAGTGTTTTGTTCTGTTATGCACGGGTCACTATGAGTTGGAACTGACTGGGCGGCACCTATTAACAAAAACTGTGAGTGTTCTGCTCCTTACCTGCTCATCCCAAGCTGAGTTTAAAAGGATGTTTCTGAGGGCTATTAAGCTAATGGTAAATCGATCTTTAGACCAAGCTTGGGAGACAGGTTGTTGTTGTTGTTAAATGCTGTCAAGTTGGTTCCAACTCATAGCAACCCTGTGTAGGGTTTCTGAGGAGCAACAGGTGGGTTTGAACTGCCAACCTTGTGGTTGATTTGCAGTCCAGTGCTGATCACAGTACCACACCAGGAGTCCTTGGAGACAGGAATTGGTGGTGAAATAAAATGAAATGAGTGACATATCTGACCTGTTGCACCAGCTTTGGTTATCTAATAGGCAGGCTGGTCTAGGGCTCATCTTCTCACAGGCCATCAAAGACAGGGAGCCAGGGGAGCTGAGCCGAGAGGACTAATAGAAGGGTCAAGATCCAGGACAAACACAAGGACTCTCCTGCTTGAAGGCCAGAGATGGCATCCAGAGTAGGAGAGGATGTGATGAAATATCAGACTCCTTCCAGCATTGGGGAAAGTGGAAGAGAATAGCATGATCAAATCACAGGCCAGAGCAACAGATTGAACTGGATATGGATTTATCAGGTTAACTACTTGGCAGTTGTCTTAGCTTCTAGATGCCACAGCTAGTGAGGAGGGAGGGAGGCTGCTTTAGGGCAGATAGGGCCTTGCTGGCTTCAGAAGTGTTCCTGTGAGCCAAAGATCCCTGTGCTCTGCTGCTTTTGGAAGGAAAGGGGTGGGGTACCTCCTGAGCCAGAGCTGTGTAGGGCTATTTTGACTGCAGCTATTTGGAGAGAGCTAGGTGCTGCTTTGTGTTTATTTACAGGTCGTTTAGGTTCATCCTTTCTCTGGAGCCAGCAGCATTTGTTGAGTGAATAAGTCCTCAGCCTCTCCCATGAATTGAGTACTCTGAGGAAGGAAAGCCCAAATCAGAACCTGCTCCTGAGGAGCTCATAGTTTGTATGCTAGACTGTAAGAGAAGGTGGGATGAGAAGAGGAGCTAAAGGGGATGAGATGAGAGAAAACAATGAGATCTGGAGAGACCACCTTGGATATGTAATTTTCCTGAAAAGACAGAAATTTCTTAGGTGAAAGGAGATTTGGGAGAACATTCCAAATGGGAGGCAGCAGTATAAGCTAAGGCAAAGGTTTAAAGGACCTGTTCATGATTGTCAAGTAAAGCTTGTCTGTGACGTTAGGATGTAGATGCATGCATGAAAGTTCCAGGGGATGGGAAGGTTGACTAGATAAAGCCCAGACCTCAGATGCTGGTTGTCACTGTACAGACAGTGAAAGTGTAGGCTTGGATACATGTCCTATTCTTACATTACCTGGTAAGGTCAGGTCTTTGGGGCCCTGCAGACTAAGGAAAGGAAGGAAGGCCAGGGACCTTTCTCTACTAGAATGTAAGCTGCAAGAGAACAAGGCTTTTCTTTTGTTCACTGAGGTATTGCTGGTATTTAGAACCATGTTTATTTAGCACATAGAAAGCATAAATACTCATGTTTGAGCCTGAGGTGAATCCTAGTGCAGCCACCCTAGATTCTGGACTAACTCATCCCACATGGCTATTTCAGAACTCCTAGGTCTGATCATTTTGGCAGTCTAAGAATGTGGTTCACAAAAGAACAGAAGAAAAAGTGTCACGTATAGACTCAGGGAATGAGTGAGGAGTAAGTGAGGCGAGAAAGGGAAGGGTGGTAGTAAGTCTGACTGGCTGGTTCCCACTTTTGAGCCACATTGTCTCTTCTTCTTTGGAAACCTTAGAATTGCCTGATAAAGAGAGATGAGAATGGCTACTCTGCAGTGGTGGCAGACTTCGGCCTAGCTGAGAAGATCCCTGAAGCCAGGTGGGTAGCCCTAAGAGATGCTGGGGTCATAGAATAAGGGGGCTGAGGTTAAGGGAAAATTTCAGCTTCATGTTGAGAAGCCAGGACTTGGTTACAAACCTCAACTCCCTAAATTTGGTCACTCTTAGTCTGTGCCCTCGGAGTCCTGGTGTGGCACTGTGGGCTAATGTGTCAGATTGCAGTTGTTTGAACTGCAAGGTTGGTGGTTCAAGCTCACCAGCTGCTTCATGGAAACCCTATACAGGGTTGCTATGGGTCGGAATCGACTCAGGAGCATTGAACAACAGTCAGTGCCCTACCTTTATGAGGAGGAAGTCCCAAAAGTCTAAGATCCCATTGTAACAGCCAACAGTAGGCTTATTTTCTATATAATCTCACGTCACAGCACAGAGAGTGAGAAGCTCGCTGTGGTGGGCTCACCCTTCTGGATGGCACCTGAAGTTCTTCGAGATGAACCCTACAATGAGAAGGTGAGTCTGGGGACTTCAGGACCTTGTTCTCCTTGAAATTGCTCTTAAAACTAACTGTCCAGGGTCACGTTTATGTTCAGAATGAGAATCTACATCATTCTTGCCAAGAGCAGGGCTGGTAATTAACAGCTGCCCAGTGAGGAAACTAAATCAAATATGGGCAGGAGGGCCCAGACGTGGGCTGGTAGACATGGAATGCAGATACCCCACGGTCCCCCACCAAAGAGAGATACTCAAGGTCTCACTCCCCACCAGGCGGACGTGTTCTCTTATGGCATCATCCTCTGTGAGATCATAGCCCGCATCCAGGCTGATCCGGACTATCTTCCCCGCACAGAGGTAAGCTGCAGGGATGGGGACCTTACCTGAGTATAGAATTATGTTTGTGCCTGTTTTGTCCTTTTGCATGGAATTGCTGAAACTCAGATTGTGGCTGCTTTTCAGGAGCAGCTCCCAGCTTCTCCTTGAGCTGGCAAAGATGGGTTGGGAATTAATAGCCTATACCCATTTATCCACCCAGACCCGGCTCATGCCTGAATGTCCCTCTCATCCCCCACATCCATCCACAGAACTTTGGGTTGGACTATGACGCTTTCCAGCACATGGTGGGCGACTGTCCCCCGGATTTTCTGCAGCTCACGTTCAACTGCTGTAATGTGAGTCTTTCTTCCCAAGGGGCTGGCCGAACCCTTTTCACTTGGTTGGGACTATAAGGAGAGATTGCTAATTAAGAGTCATATGTGGTATTTCTCATTGGATTGTCTGATGACATTCTTCCTCTGTGGCAGTGCCCACTCTGCCCTTTAGCTTTGGCCAGGCTCTCCAGAGCTCTGGACCAAGGAAAGAAAAAAAATAGTATTATCCAGTCTGCAGGGATAGGCTCACCTTGCCTTGGGTGTTGCTGGAGCTCTGGACAGGTTTTATTGTCTCACTGGATCCAGCTGATCCTGAGGCTCCCTGAGAAGGGCTCTCATAGCATTAAGTTGATATAATTCCAGGGTTGGACTGACTTTTTATGACCAAGCGGCGGGTGGGTAGGTAGGCTTGGATCAAGTAGCTCCCAAAGACATGTTAGCAACAGAACTCAAGAAAAAATGAGTCCATGTGAGTATACACTTTTGAAGGGTCCTATGCCAAGCCGGGAGATAAGGTACACAGAAAGGGGGGACAAGTTAGGGGAAGGTAATAGACAATAGCATCCTCTCTGACCTTAGCCCTTCACCCTGGCCTGAACCTTTAGAAAAGATCTCTTAGCTGTACATCTGAAATCTTTTAAGATGTCAGAAGCAAACTCAAATGCTATCCTTGGGGTGGAAGTTGGAGGGCAGGGCTAATGGCTGGTGTGGATGCCTACAGATGGACCCCAAACGGCGTCCATCATTTATGGAGATTGGGAGGACGCTGGACGAAATTCTGCACCGCCTGCAGGAGGAAGAGCTGGAGCAGGACAGGAGGGTACAGCCCACAGCCAAAGGTAAGAGAGAGGACCAGAGAGTGCAGCCTGATCTGAAGGCAGGACATAAGGACATGGGACCTTCCCCTCCAGGGTGGTGCTTCCAGGATCTCAAGTTCAGAAGCAGGGGGCAGAGGCTGGAGATAATGGGGAAAAAATTCTTTAAGAATTGTGACTTGGCATATCACTACCCTCATCCGAATCTGTCTCTTTATTGGTGAAATGAGAATAGTAGCTACTTGGCTTTCACCAGTGTAAATATTTTGTAGTACAAAGTACTGCTTTTACAAACTGTTAGGATTGAGAGGAACCCTGACTTGTCTATTCTTCAGGAATCCTAGAAAAAGGACCTGGGATGAAGCGACTGAGCTCACTAGATGACAAGATCCCGACCAAGTCTCCACGCCCAAGACGTACTATCTGGCTATCTCGAAGTCAGTCAGACATCTTTTCCCGTAAGCCCCCACGTACAGTGAGCGTCCTGGATCCCTATTATCAGCCACGAAGTGTTGCTGCCGGCACCCGCAAGATCAACCCTTTCAGTGCTCGCCAGGACCTCAAAGGTGGCAAGGTCAAGTTCTTTGACTTGCCCAGCAAGTCTGTCATCTCCCTAGTATTTGACCTAGATGCACCAGGGCCTCCTGCACCTCTGCCCCTGGCTGACTGGCAGGAACCCCTAGCGCCACCTGCTCGCCGGTGGCGTTCTTTGCCTAGTTCACCCGAGTTCTTGCACCAAGAGGCCTGTCCATTCGTGGGCCGGGAGGAATCATTATCTGATGGACCCCCACCACGACTCAGTAGCCTCAAATACCGAGTTAGAGAGATCCCACCATTCCGGGCATCTGCCTTACCAGCTGCTTTAGCCCATGAGGCCATGGACTGCTCCAGTCCCCAAGAAGAGAATGGATTTGGACCCAGGACTCAAGTGGCCAGTCCAGGACCTGCAGGTGTCTCAGAGGAGATGGAGGTTGAAGAAGAAAGGACAAGAAGCTTGGGCCCAGTTCCCTTCGCCACCTCAGGCATAGGCAGGCTACCCCAGGGAGAGCAGGATGGGTGAGAGGGTCAATCTCCCCTCTCCTCAGCTTAGGGATGGATCTTCATCTGAAGCCCCTTGGTGCAAGTCTTGATTGTTCCCTGAGATCATAGAGCAGGTAGGCTACACCAGGTCAAGTTTAACTCGGGGCTCCCAATGGCTGTGTATGAAAGGAGAGGTAGCAGCAAGAGGCCTTATACTAGTTAGGGCCAACAACTGATACCAAGCTTCTGAAATCCAGCAAGGAGCTCTAGCTCCCACATGAACCCCCCGATACATTTCCCCAGACAGGACCAGAGGACTCCTAGTTCTAGGTTAAGCTGGCAAGCAGCTATTACCCCAGGTTCTTCTCCCATTCCAGGTCTGTCTCTTGCCCTTTCTTGGGGCATATAAACTACCAGATAGAACCTGACGTTGACCAGGAGGCCATAAAGGACATGGCTGTTTCTCAGCCCTGAAGACTGGGCACTTCTTGCCAGTATGTTTAAGACACTTGAATAATCGCTGTTTGCACTTACTGCACGGTCAGACCACGTCACTACATTTCTATGCAAGGGGAGGGCAAGGCAATGTGTAGTGGTCATGGCTCTTAGCTAACCTATTCAAAATCTTTTCCAATTGATGAATCTATTTTCCTATTTATGAAGGAGTCTTAATGTTCTGCCCTTAGGACTTTCAACCTTGTGGTTGGGAGTGGGCTGGCTTTGTAGGCCTAAGGGCCTGCTCTATGTATTTGCTAGATACACCGACTGGTTAAGTGGTTTATAATACGTGGACTGATCATTTTCCCTTCCTGCTATGGCTGGAACTATGGGAATAGTTCTTACAGAGCCACATATGAAATAACCAAAGATGAAGCTGGTCAAATATTTTCATAACTTGTTTCTGTTGATCTTTTTTTTTTTTTTTTTTTAAACTTTCCCAAGACACTTTCAAATTTAAAAATAAATAAAGACGGTGTTACAGATGCTGGTCAGCCTTTTTACTTGTACCCTTGTACCTCGGCCTCTAATGTAAAGGAGAAGGTCCAGGGGCAATGCAGTATTTCTGCCAGGATCCCACGTTCCCCCTGAACTCCATAGTAGTTGGGAGTATGACCCAAACTCCTCTATACCACCCTCACCTACTCTTCCCAGGCCTCAAGTGCTAGGCAGAAGTTGGGTCAGCTACTGCCCCAGGCCTGCTTCATCTTCTGGCCATGGGCTTCAGAGGAATGGGAGAACTGGCTCTTGGCCACTGTGAGGGGTACAGTTTTGCCACTCAGGTATACCTTGTTGTGGCATTCAGGTAGCCAAAGTTCAGAGCTGCAGGGTTGGGTTCCTTGGCTCATTCTCACATAGGCCATCACATACCCTGTCATAAAGGCATCAAAACCAGCTCGGTGAAGCCCATCCCCAGGCATTCGGTTGGGATTGGCTTGACTGCCTCGCACATCTGGGGTGGCCACATCAGTGCTTCCAGGTCCTGTTGTTTTAAGGCCCGTCTTCAGGTCATTTTTGTGATCTTGCTCACAGTCAGGCTGGTTGGTAATCTCATTCTCAGCCATCTCCTGCTCAATTTCCTCAGTCTTGAGTCCATCCCCACAGACCTGCTTCATGGGAGGACCATCTTCAGCTTGCCCAGAAGTCTGTTTGCCAGACAGTCCTAACAACACTCTACGTCGTTTTTCTCGCCTTCGCCGCCATTTCTGTTTAACTTCTGCTGCAGCTTCATCAGTGTCAATGATAAGGTCAACATTATGGGACCGGGGACACTGTGGCCCTAGGGGGCACCAGCCATAGGCCTAGAGGTAGGAAAGAGCGTTAGGAAGGGGGAGGGGGTCCAGACATCAGAACCTCCCCATGCCCAGGAAATAGGTGGGTGCTCTCACCGAGAAGCTGTCACAGAGGCTGGTGGGATGGGGATGCTGGGTGGCAGATGTGCAGCAGCAGTAGTCAATGTGGGCCCTCATGCTGGAAGGGTAGCTGCAGAACTGCAGGGTAAGGTGTGGGCTGCCAGCTGCCCGCTGCTTCCCATTTTCCCGCTCACTGCAACAGCAAAAGAGGATATTTGTCCACTAGCACATCAACTCCATGAGATTAGGTGATCTGTTTTGATCACCTCTGAATCCTCAGCATCTAAAACAGTGGTAGTCAATCAATAAATATCTTAATTGAATGAAATAGATTCATACTACCCCCCTACCCCTTTCCCATGACCAACCCCCTCACCATTTCCTGAAGGCATATTCTAAGTAGGAGGCCACAAAGCGGGCACAAAACTCAACAGCATATTTGGTGTCATAAATGCCAGCTGGGAACATCTCACACAGGTCAGCTGTGAAGGTTCCCAGGCTCTCAGGCAAGTGTGCATAGAAGTTCTGGTATAAAAACACCAAGTCTATGAGGCCATTATGTAGCACCAGAGGCCGGCGGGCCCGGATTAGCTCCAGGAACAGGGTCCGTACAGATCGGCTCTGGCTCTCGTCACCCTGGGTGGAAAGAAAGGATTCATGAGGAAGAATGGAGCCCCCATTTTAACCCAGGCTCCTTCACCTGGAAAGCTCTCACTCCCTGTGTACCCCAGTACGTCTCACCCTTGTAATTAGTGTGGCGGCCTACCTTGTCATTGCCCTTGTGGTAGGGGATGCCCTGAGCATACTGCTGGTTGAAGTTGAAGCCATGCTGTACCAGGAACTGCACAGACTTTGGTTCTATGACATATTCTTCCATGCATAGTAGGGTCAGATTGAACACCTGGGCCAGGTAAAACTGTTCACCCTGGGAGAAGAAGCAGGGCTGCTATATCAAAACTTGGGAGAAAACGTCACACCTGATGTTCAATAGGATATCAGTACTCCTCCCTCCCCCGCAGCCATGGGCCTGGGAAGGGGGTAAACTTAGCCCGTACCTTATCTGACTGTTGCTTGAAACAGGCGAGGCCCAGGGAGAGGATAGAACGGGTTCTGGCAGCTTGACACAAGGCCCTGTAACGTTCTTCGATCCACCTTGGGGTTGGTTTTGGGGTCGCTGTGGCTCAGAATTAGCTTCATGAGGGACCCAAACCACCCAGAACTGTGATCCTCTACTCCAGGGTTAAGGTCTGCCTCACCAGGGGTTAAGGAGAACAGGGCATATACTTACCGGTTTACCAAGCTCTTCCTGTCCCCAAGCCCACTCAATTCCTAAAGACAGGTAAAAGGAGAGGTGTTAGCCTAGCCTCTTCACGGTGACTTGCCCTTCCTATTCCTGACCCTCACCGTGTCTACAGCCACGAAGCTAGCTGTCTTTATGGCCAGCAGGAGGGACGGCCATATCTCCTTGAAGTTGTCACTTTTCACATCCACCACAGGAACCTCTATTACCAGCTCCTTCTCAGATTTTGTGCATTTGTTGACACCACCTGGGGACAAAACAACAGAATAGATGTTAATATTCAGGCGAGGGTCCCAGGGGAACAAATACACCAAGCCAGGCCAAGGCTAGGGTCTGGAGAGCAGTTTCCATTGGGGTAAGATATGATAGCTTTCCCCCCAAGCCCTTGTATCCCTCATGTTCTACACACAGTCATGGACTGGACAGTAGCCTGAATTTGAGGAGCAGAAGCCTGGGCTTTCCAGTGGGTTATGTGAGACATTAGAATAATTCCTCCCCACAGCACTATGTATCACAGTCTGTATTGAAGGAAGGTTGGACTAGATGGCATTTGAGGTTAAGGATTTCAGCTCCCTTAATTCCTTGGGGGAGTCTTGGTGTGGCACCGTGGGCTAATGTGTCAGACTGCAAAGTCGTTTGAACTGCAAGGTGGGTGGTTCAAGCTCACCAGCTGCTCCTTGGAAACTCTATACAGGGTCGACTCCATACTTAACAACAACAACTTAACAATTCCTTTAATTGTTGTGATGGGACTCTGTAAGATAATCACTATACTGCAAATCACAAGTTCCATGGTTCAAAACCATCAGCCAATCCTCAGAAACTTGATATTTGTTATTAGATGCTATTGAGCTGGTTCCAACTCATATGAGCTATACACAATAGAATGAAACACTGCTTGGTCCTGTACCATTCTCACAATTGTTGTAATGCTTGGGGTACTCAGATATCTAAAATATTAAAAATGCTACAGTTACTTTGGAGTTACTGTGAAAGCATGTAAGTATAAAAGCTTTTAAGTATGTACAGTGATCCTCCGATTTTACTCCTTTAAATCCTCATCTCCTACACTCAGTATTCTGTGTGACTTAATTTGGCCAAAGATGCAGTACAACTTGAAAGTGCTTTCTTATTAGGATATATACAAAAACTTGAAAGTGCTTGTTTATTAGGATTTACTTTCTCTTGTTGCCTTTGGAAAGTCAAAACTCCTACCTTAGGAACAATCCCAGGGTCTCTTTTTGGATTACTGGAAACATGTTAACCAGTAGACTCTATTATCCAGCTGACAAATTACCTCCATAAAGATTTCATACCCATAAATGTTTCCTTAAAGACTGTATGATTGGGTTTATCTGAAAACTCAGTTATACATGAAAAACATTCCAAAGTACATGATGTGATAAGCACTGTTGAAGTCTCACCTTTCACAGGAGACCTGGGTTTGAATCTTGACCAATGAACTTCATGTACAACCACTACCAGTGTGTCAGGACTCCTAATGTGGCACTGTAGGATAAAAACTGGACTGCTAACTACAAGATCGGCGGTTCAAACCCACCAGCTACTCTTTGGAAACCCTTGATAGAGTCACTTAAGTCAGAACTGACTCAATGGCACTTTACACCAAATGATGCTAAACAAGTTTCACTTGAGCTTCCAGATTAAAAGGTACTAGGAAAAAAGTTCTGGTGATTGACTCTCAAAAATCAGCCAATGGAAAAAACAAAACAAAAAAAACCCAGCCAATGAAAATCCTATGGATCACTAATCATGAAGATGGTGCAAAACGGTGGCATTTCATTCCCTTGTGAATGGGGTTGACAGGAGCAGTAGGGGTGAGGAGTACTTGACAGTAACTAACAAGAAATGGTAAATGGACACACAATTTGTCTAACCAGTTGCAACATAGTTTTTTGTTAACAAGTGCCATTGAGTCACAGCAACCCTATGCAGAACAGAATGAAACACTGACCAGTCCTGCTTCATACTCTCACAACTGTTGCTGTTTGACCCAATTGTTGCTGCCACTGTGTCAATCCATCTTTTTTTTTTTTTTTTTTTGGGGGGGGGGAAGGGTCTTCCTCTTTTTCACTGACCCTCAACTTTTCCAAGGTTGAGGTTCTTCAGTGACTTGTATTTCCTGATAATATGTCCAAAGTAAGAGAAACAAAGTCTTGCCATCCTCGCTTACAAGGATCAGTCTGACTGTACTTCTTCACAGACAGACCTATTTTTACCTCTTGAAGTTGAAGTCCATGGTACTTTTAATATTCTTTGCCAACACAATAATTTAAATGCCTCAGTTCTTCTAAGGTTGTCCTTATTCAATGTCCCAACTGTCACATGATCTGAGGTGACAATATACCATGGCTTGGGTCAGGTACACCTTAGTCCTTACACGTCTTTGCGCTTTAACATTTTAATGAGGTCTTCTGCAGAAGATTTGCCTGCTACTTCCTTGAGTGTTGATTGTGGATACAAGCAAAGTGAAGTCTTGACAGCTTCAATCTTTTCTCCATTTATCTTGATGTTATTTACTGGTCCAGTGGATTTTTGTTTTCTTTACACTGAGGTACAACCCATACTGAAGGCTGTAGACTTCGATCTTTATCAGTATCTTTAGTCCTCTTTGCTTTCAGAAGCAAGGTTGTTTCATCTGCATATCGCAAGTTATTAATGAGTCTTCCTCCAACTCTTATGTTCTTCATATAATCTAGCTTCTCAGATTATCTGCTCAGCATAAAAACTGAGTATGGTGAAGTATAGGACCCTGGTGAACACCTGTCCTGGTTTTAAATCATTCAGCATTCCCTTATTCTAACAACTGCTTCTTGGTCTATGTACAGATTCCTTATGAGCTAATTAAGTGTTCTGGAATATCCATTCTTTGCAATATTATCCTTAGTTTGTCATGATCTAAAGTAAAAAAAAAACGAAAACTTTTGGATAGTCAATAAAGCACAAGTAAACACCTTTCTGGTTTTCTCTGCTTTTAGTCAAGATCCATGTGATGTAAGCAATGATATCCCGTATTCTACATCTTTATCTGAATCTGGCTTAAATTGATGGCAGTTCTCAGTTCATGTACTTTTGCACCCATCTTTGATTTATTTTCAGTAAATTTCCTTGCATGTAATATTAATGGTCTGTGTATATAAATAGGTCTGTGTTGGAAGAAGTGCAGCCAGAGAGTACCTTGGAAGCCAGATGGCCAGACTTTGCCTCTCATACTTCAGACATGTTGTCAGGAGGGACTAGTCACTGAAGAAGGATATCATATTTGGTAAAGTGGAGGGTTGGAGAAAAAGAGGAAGCTCTCCAATGAGATCGACTGGCACAATAGCAGCATCACTGGGCTCAAATGTAGCAGGCATTGTTTAGTCGGCCCAGGACCAGGCAGTTTTTCATTCTGTTGTGCATAGGGTTGCTTAGAATCAGTACTGACTTGATGGCACCTAACAATTAAACAACAATAATATAGTCTGATCCATTTCAGCATTCAGTTGGGCCACTGTTCTTTGGAATGGGTACAAATATGTAGCCCTTTCAATCAGTTGGCCAGGTAGCTGTCTTCCAAATATTTTTGGCATAGATGAGTGATCACTTCCAGTGCTGCATCAGTTTTTTGAAAGATTTCAATTTGTATTCCATCAATTCCTGAAGTCTTGTTTTTCACCAATGCTGTCAGTACAACTTGGATTTCTTTCATCAGTACCATTGGTTCTTAATCATATGCTACCTCCTGAAATGGCTGAACACTGACCATTTCTTTTTGGTACAGTGACTCTTATTCCCTCCATTTTCTTTTGATGCTTTCTGCATCATTCAATATTTTGGCCATAGAACCCTTCAATTTTGCAAGTCAAGGCTTGAGAAATGCTTACTGTATTCTTACCTTTTAATTTTCTTTAACACCAGGTCATAATATTTGACTGTCTTCTTGAACCGCCCTTTGAAATTTTCTGTTTAGCTTTTTTACCCCCTCATTTCTTCTATTTGCTTTATCTTCTCTAAGCTCAGGAGCAAGTTTCAGAGTCTCTTCAGGCATTTATTTTGGTGTTTTCTTTCTTCTGGGTCTTTTTAATGATCTTTTGCTTTATTCCCAAATGATATTCTTGATGTCATCCCACAACTCTTCTGGTGTTTGGTCATTAGTGTCTAATATACCAAATATGTTCTTGAGATGGTCTCCAAATTTGGATGGGACATATTGAAGATTGGAACATACTAGAGGGCACTGACAATACCTCTGGTGCAACTATGGGCTAGTTAAAGGGCTACTTAACTACAAGTTTGGATGCTCAAACGCCTGGCCATTCTACAGGAGAAAGATGAGGTTATCTGCTCCTGTCAAGATTTATAGTCTCCAAAACTCTGTATTTGAATTGCTATGAACTGTAATTGACTTGATGGCAGTCGGTTCTATGAATTAATACATGTAAAGGTTCAGACTACCACTTGTCTGTAAGAATCTGTCATATTGTGATGACTTGTGTGTTGCTATGATGCTGGAAGCTATACCACCAGTTTTTTAAAAACAGCACAGTCTCAAGAGGGAAGAACATGAGAGGAGCGAGGGACCTAACCATAAAAGTGGCTACAAGAGAGATGGTGGCAGAGGCAAAGGCATAGAGACAGAGCAGCAGAGAACTAGAGGCCCGTGGACTGATAAAGGCAGCGTGCCTGTGGACAGGAGGCTGGCTTGCAAAATGTGCCTTTTGGACGTTTAAATGAATACATGTTTTCAATGTGATATGTGCACATCAAAAAAAAAGTTAACAGAGACAAATACTGTTGGTTAAGATTGTTGGAGGGGACTGTAATCACAATGATTGACTGAATGTAAAACTGATGTTCTGCCCTATAAGTCTTCATGTACTAAATACACAAAGTTTTTTTCAAAAAACAAAAACAAAAAACAAATACCAGTAGAGTCACCTATGATGGAAAGGTTTCAGTTGAGTTTCCAGATGAAGACAGACTAGGAAGACACAGTGTCAGACTAGTTCTGTTTAGCCACTGGAAACCTTATGAATAGCACTGGAACACTCTCAGCACAAGAATATTGAAAACTGAAACATTATGAATAGCACCAAAATATTATGAGAAACAGTGCTAGAAGAGTCCTAGTGTGGCGCTGTGGGATAATGTAGTGGATCACCAGGTCAGTTTGAACCATAAGGTTGGTGGTTCTGATTCCCCCATTGCTTCTTAGAAACCCTATACATGGTATGTATGAGCCAGAACTGACTCAATGACACTTAACAATAACAACCAGGAGATGAACCCTTCATGTTAAAAGGCACTCATATACGACTGGGAAAGAGCTGTCTCCTCAAAGTAGAATTGACTGTGATAATGTGAATGGAGTAAAGCTTTTGGGAACTTCATTCACTGATGGAGAACAAATCAAAATGAGGAGAAACAATAGTAAACATCCATCAATAATCATAACATAGAATTTATGAAGTATAAGTCTAGGAAAACTGGAAGCTGTCAAAAATAAAATGGAACACATGAAGATTGATGTATCAGGCATTAGTGAGCTGAAATGGACTGGTACTGACCATTTTGAATCTGACAATCACATAGTTTACTAGGCCAGGAATGACAAATTGAAGAGGAAAGGTATTACATTCATCATCAAAAAAAGAACATTTCAAGATCTAAAAGTATAACGCTGTTTGTAACAGAATAACTATATACCTATAAAGAAGACCACTTAATACCACTATTATTCAAATTTATGCACCAACCACTAAAAGCCAGTGATGATGAAATTGAAGAATTCTACCAATCTCTTCAGTCTAAAATTGATCAAACATGCAATCAAAATGTATTGATAATTACTGATGATTGGAATGCAAAGGTTGGAAACGAAGGATCAGTCATTGTAAAATATGGCCTTGGTGATAGAAACAATGCTGGAGATCACATAATAGAATTTTACAAGACCAATAACTTACTTCATTGCAAATACCTTTTATAAACATAAAAGATGACTATATACAAGGACTTCACAAGGTGGTGTACACAGAAATCAAAATAACTACAGAACAGTGTTAACAGATGCTGGAACAGACTATCAGTTACTCATATGCAAGTTCAAGATGAAACCGAAGGAAATGAAAGACAAAATATGTCAACAGAGAATGGTACTCCCGTATAATAAGTCTGAAGTATGAGAGAGGAAGTCTCGCCACCCTGGCTTCTAAGGCGGCTTCTGGATGTACTTCTTGCAACACAGATTTGTTTGTTCTTTGAGCAGTCCATGGTACTTTTTAATACTCTGCTCTAACAACATACCTCAAATGCCATCAATTATTTTATGGTCCTCATTCACTGTCCAACTTTCACATGCATATGAGGCTACTAAAATTACCATGGCTTGAGTCAGGCACACCTTTGTCCTTAAACTGCTATCTTAGCTCTTTGACACTTTAAAGAGGTCTTGGCAGCAGATGTGCCTAATGCAATAGGTCGTTAGATTTCTTGACTGCAGCTTCCATGAGTGCTGAAAATGGATCCAAGCAAAAAGAAGTCATTGACAACTTCGATCCTTTCTCTGTTTATCACTGTTATTTATTGGTCAAATTGTGAGGGTTTTTGTTTTCTTTACATTACTTGGAGTGTACTGTTGTTATGTGCCGTGTAGTCGGTTTGGGCTCATAGCGACCCTGCATAAGGTTTCCGAGGTTATAAATCTTCATGGGAGCAGAAAGCCTCATCTTTCTCCTGCGGAACAGCTGGTAGTTTCGAACTGTTGAAGGTGAGACTAGCAGCCCAATTTGTAACCACTACACTACCAGAGCTCCTTACTATATATATATATATATATATATATACACACACACACACACACATATATATCAAGAAAAAAGCTTCCCATTTTGATAATTTGTTTAATAAAGGATTTTATGAATCTGTAGCAATACTTTAAAAAAAATTTATCATCATACTTAATTGAGATTTGAATTTTTCCTTAGTTTTTTCAGCTTGAGAAATGTGAAGTATGTTCTTCCCTGTTGGTTTTCTAACTCCTGGTCTTTGCACATTTCATTGTAATTTTTGACTTTGTCTATTTGAGCTATCCTTTGAAATTTTTTGTTCAGCTCTTTTATTTACCTCAATTCTTTTATTTGCTTTAGCATCTCTACACTGGAGAGCAAGCTTCAGAATTTCTTCTGACATCCATTTTGGTCTTTTCCTTCTTTTTTTGTCTACTTAACCTTTTGCTTTCTTCCTGTGTGATGTGCTTGATGTCATCCCACAGCGTTTCTAATCATGGGTCTTTAGCGTCTAACGCATCAAATCTGTTCTTCAGATGCCAGGTTACATGAAGAATAACATGGCGTTATGTTAGACAAAAACTGATGATCAACCAGCGATATGCAGATGACACAACCTTGTTTGCTGAAAGTGAAGAGGGCTTTAAAAATACTTACTGATGAAGATCAAAGACCACAGCCTTCAGTATGGGTTGCAACTCAATGTAAAGAAAACAAAAATCCTCACAACTGGACCAATAAATAACATAATGATAAATGGAGAAAATATTGAAATTTTCAGACTTCATTTTACTTGAATCCACCACCAATACTCATGGACACAGCAGTCAAGAAGTCAATCGATGTATTGAATCGTTGCACAAGATCTTTTTTAAATGTTCAAGAACAAAGATACCAGTTGTGAGAAGTAAAGTGTGCCTGAGGCAAGCCATGGTGTTTTCAACTGTCTCATAGGCATGTGAAAGCTGGACAGAGAATAAGGAAGACCATAGAAGAATTGATGCTTTTGAGTTATGGTGTTAGAGGAGAATATTGAAAGTGTCATGGGCTGCCAAAAGAATCAACAGATCTGTGTTGGAAGAAGTGCAGCCAGAGTGCTCCTTGGAGGACAGGATGGCCAAACTTCATCTCTCATGCTTTGTACATATTGTCAGGAGGAACCAGTCTCTGGAGAAGGATATCATGTTTGGTAAGGTGGAGGGTCAGAGAAAAAGTAAGACCCCCCAGCGAGATGGATTGGCAAAGTGGCAACATAAATGGGCAACAATCAGTGTGGCAACAATTGTGAGGTTGGCCCAGGATCTGGCAGTGTTTCATTCTGTTGTGCATAGGGTTGCTATGAGTCGGTATCGACTCGATGGCACCTAACAATAACAACAACAACAACATATGCACGTGAAAGTTGCACAATTAATAAAGATCATGGAAAAAATCGATGGCTTTGAGTTACAGTATTTGAGAAGAACATTAAAGTAGCATGGACTGCCAGAAGAACAAACCAATCTATGTTAGAAGTACAGTCAGAATGCCCTTAGAAGCCAGCATGGCAAGATTTGTCTCTCATACTTCAGACATAATTATCAGGAGGGACCACTCAATAAGGACAACCCGCTTGTTAAAGTGGAGGGTCAATGCAAAAGAGGAAGACCTCCCCGGCAGTGATGGATTCCAATAGTGACAGCAGCAATGGTTTCTGTTGTGCACAGAGTTGCTATGAGTCGGAACTGACTGGATGGTACCTAAGAACAAGAACAGCAACAATGAATCGGATCGGATTGGATTTAACAACGAACGAGACAGGCTCCATACAATTGTTCTCTTGATGCTCCACCAGCCACAAGCTCCAGAGGTTGCCAAGTGTTGCCTCAACGCACACACAGTTCCCATAAGTTTCACTTCCTTTGAAACACAACTCCCAACCGGACCCACAACTATTAAAACAGCTCAAATTACTTCTCCCGACATACCCTCGCTTCCGCAGCCTATACTCCGATCCCAGGTTATCGCAGACTGAGTCGCGAAGCGCACCGGGACTTGTAGTCCTCATGACAGGGCCGGGTTAGAGAAGATGGGGACGATCTGAGGACGGTTTTTAGAGTTGCGCACCCCATACTTTCCCTTTACCCGGAGCGCCGAGGCTTAAAAGGCGGCCCCTGGGAAGTCACTCACCATCAGAGGCCGCTACAGCTGAGGCTGCGCCATCGTCATTGCTGGCGGCCATGACACTACGCGTCTCTCGTCTGAGTGCTTTGTAGATGCGCGGGTCTTCCGCTTGGTTTTCAGGCTCTACTCTTTCGGTCGGGGCTGGGGTCGAGCTTCGCTCTCAGATTCGCGGACTGGTTAGACTTCAGTTCTGACTTACTGGGGTTGTCGCTGGGAAATCGGCCTGGCGCGTGGTGAGAATCTCTTCGCTGGTGCAGCCCTGCTGGTCTTCGGGATTGGCCGGAGCCCCGCCCCTTTTGTGAACTCTGCGCGGGAGGTAATTTCAAGCTCTAGATAGTCATCATGGACACTGCAGGGGAACTGAGGGGGCGCTTAAGAAATGCATCCTAGTGGAGGTGGAGATGCACGAGCTAAGCTTAAAGCACGCGTTGTTGTTAGGAATAAAAGGGTCGTGGGGAAAGAAGGGTGTTCTGGGTAAGTAAATTCTTAGAATAGAGAGCTCTGTGCGTTTCAGGAAGTGAAAGGCGAGGAGGGGGATGTAGGGCAAGGCTGTAGAGGGAGTAGAGAGACCGGTTAGCCACGAGGCTTTTGCAGTAAGCCAGGCAAATGATGATGACCTGAATTGCGGCTTTGAAGTGGGAAGCACAGATTTGAGAGCAACTGGGGCTGTAGGATAAGCACTGGACTTCTAACAACAAGGTAGGCAGTTCAAACCCACCAACCGCTTGGGAACCCTATACAGGGTCTTTATGAGTCGGAATCCACTTAACAGCATAGGAAGTATAATTGACCTTGAATGTGATTGGAAGTGACTTCCATCCTGTGAGAGGCGACCCTATAGAATGGTTTTCTATAGCTCAGTTTCTCATCACGCATCAAGGACTCTCAGTCCTTCTCTTTATTCACTTTCTAGTTCATCTTCAACCTCTCTCCCTCTACTGAGCCTTTTTCATTCAGGATTGCTCAGGTTTCACACTGAACTGCCAACCAAAAAGGTCGGCGTTTTGAGCCCACCAGCCACTGGTAGCGTAGTGGTTACGAATCGGGCTGCAAACCTTAAGGCCAGCAGTTCGAAACTACCAGCCGCTCCGCGGGAGAAAGATGAGGCGTTCTGCTCCCATAAAGATTTACAGCCTCGGAAACCCTGTACAGGGTCGCTATGGGTCGGATCCGACTCGATGGCACTTAACAACAACAAGCCACTCTGCGGTACAAAGATGAGGCTTTTGGCCCCCGTAAAGATTTATAGCCTGGAAAACTATACAGGGTCGGAACCGGCTTGAGGGCACTTAACAACAATATCCCTCATCCCATTAATTCATTAACTAGTGCTTCTTGTGTATAGTTTACCTGGCACTGTGTTCAGCTCTGTGGATCCAATTTGAATAAAAAAGATCCAGTGATTGCCTTCATAGTTTTAATGTCAAGTGGGTGAAGCAGACTAATCAAGTAAATGTAAAATTACTATTGCTATAAAAGCTTTATAAAGTCCTTGGATGGCATAGTTACATATTCAACTGCTAGCTGAAAGGCTAAAGGTTCAAATTCACCCTGACATACCTTGGAAGAAATGCCTGGCAATCTAATTACAAAAAAAACAAACAGCCATTGAAAATCCTATGGAGCACAGTTCTATTCTGATACAACTGGGGTCACCATGGATTTCCAACAACTACTGTTATAAAAGTTTTAATAGAAATGCAGGAATAGATAAGACTGGGGGCCCTGATTTGAAAATTAAAGTTATAACCTGAAGAATCAGTGTTGTTAAGTACTGTGGAGTCGGTTCTGACTCATAGTGACTCTGCACAGGGTCTGCCGAGGCTGCAAATCTTTATGGAGCAGAAAGCCTCATTTTTCCCCAGTGGAATGGCTGGTAGTTTTGAACTGCCGACCTTAAGGTTAGCAGCCCGATTTATAACCACTACACTACCAGAGCTCCTTGAAGCATCAATGTTGTTGTTGTCAGGTGCCATTGAGTCGGAACCGACTCATAGCGACCCCATGCACAGCAGAACGAAACAATGTCCAATCCTGGGCCAACCTCA